CACACACCACACACACACACACCACACACCACCCACACACACACACACACCACACACCCCCACACACACACACACACACCACACACACACAGGAAGAGAGACAGACACACATAGAGAGAGTCCTTGCCTTTGTCGGAGCCCCGGCCCAGCTGCTCCTGCAGCCATCTGTTCCATCACCATCCAGTCCTCCCCGACAGCAGACGCACACGAGTGGACTCATCGCGAGCACCCACACACTGGAGGATTAGGCAGCCTTGAACAAGAACGAGTCTCTTGACAGCACAGCCTGGAGGGAGCTTGAGGACACCGTGCGTGGTGAGGGACCAGACAACTGTGGGGCTGCATCACGACAGGAATGATGGGTGCGGGGCACTCTGCTGGGCTTGGGGAGCGGACAGGCTGGTGCGGGGCACTCCGCTGGGCTTGGGGAGTGGACAGTGTCGATGAAGAAGCTGGGGAACCGCGTCTACACGGATATCGTCTATACAGAGCTGTGATGGAGAATTGTCAACTAAAGGCCCAACTGTACCTCAACAACAAACACCCCCAGCTTGGCTGGTATTTTCCTTCTGCTTTCTCTGCTCCGCTCCCAAAATTCCTTCCTAGTCCCCAGGGCCCCCTAAAGCCCCGCCTGCTCCACGCAGATCCCGTTACCCTCCCAGCTTTACAAAGGAGGGCGTATGACTTTCAGATCCAGGGCGCCCACCGCCTTCACTTGAAGTGACCACCACTGTGTCTGGGTGCAGACCGCCTCTCCCCAACATCCACACAAACAGCTGATCTCCGCGTCCTCTCCCAGTAAAGCACAAGGTGGATCTGTATAGGCCGGGCCCTGAGGAGCAGGCTCTGCCCGATGTCACCCCCACCCTGCCCCGGCGGGGTGGGGGGTGGAGGGTGGGGGTGAGGTGGAGGGGTGGGGGTGGGGGGCCCTCCTTCAGTCCGTCCCGTGGGCTCTCCCTCAGCCCTTTCCTGTGTCTAGCACACACCCCCTCTTGGATGGGGCCTTCCTGCCGTGTGCCAGATGACAGGCGTGCGTTCCTGTGACTAGCAATGCAGCCTCGGGGACTGGTACTGGTGCGGCCCCTGATTCTCCGCCTTTGCCTCCAGCTCCTTGTTTTGACGACGGAGGCCACATGCCCTGGGCGTTGTATCTTCCCTCCGTAGGTTTTTCTCTTTGTTTTTCTTGTGTGATGGTTTTGTCAACTTGACACATGCCAGAACTGAGGAACCTCAGTCAGGAAAACTTCCATCAGATTGGCCTGTGGGCAGCTGATGTGGGGGGTCCAGCCCACAGCGTGTGGGGCCACCCCTGGGCAGGTGGTCCTGGGTACATGAGAAAAGAAGCTGCTGGGCTTGATGTCGCACACCTTGGACCCCAGCACTCAGAGGCAGAGGCAGGTGGATCTTGGTGAGTTCGAGGCCAGCCTGGGCTACCTGGTGACTTCTAGGACAGCCAGGGCTACAGAGTGAGACCCTGTCTCAAAAATAGATAGATAGATAGAAGATAGATAGATAGATAGATAGATAGATAGATAGATAGATAGATAGATAGATAGATAGAAGATAGATAGATAGATAGATAGACAGACAGACAGACAGACAGACAGACAGACAGACAGAAGTCGAGCGGCCAGGAGGAAGAAGCCAGGCAGCAGCCCCTCCACGGCCTCTGCTCCAGCTCCTGCCTCCAGGGTCCTGCTCTGCCGTCCCTCATGACGGACTGTGACGTAGAAGTACAAGCCAGACAGACAGTGTCCTCCCCAAGCTGGTTTTGGTCACTGTGTCTGTCCCCTCAGAAAGCTCATGAGAACACATTGAAGATGAGTCTGATACGGTTCCCTGAAGCACTGAGGACACTGTTCCAGGTTCTCAGTGAAGTGTCCTGGGCCTGAAGGTGCCGGTGTCCCCATCCCATCCACTCTGTGCGGGAGCATCTCCCCGGGTGACAGCCACCCAGGTTTCACCCTACCGTGTGCCACAGCCCTCTTCCTGCGGACCCTCATCTGAGTGAACATCTGTCATTGTGCATTTCAGGTTACACACCCCCACTTCTGGTACTAATTGTTACAAGGTGGAAACCCAGCTCACCCCTGCCCAGGACAGGCCCCTGGCAGACATTCCTCCCAGCCTTTGTCCACAGCGAGCCTGAGAGGGCAGGTGTCGTGGTGTGCATCCACCCGCCCCTGTACTGGGGGAGGCTGAGGCAAAATTGCCTCCAGTTCCAGGCCGGCTGGGGCTAGGGAATAGATTATGTCTGAAAATTTACCTGACGTCTCCGCCCCTAGGAGACCCGGTCAGGAGGGCCGGGAGTTCAAGGTCAGCTTCCAAAATGGGAAATGAGTTTCCGTAGCTGGAATCTCCTTTGGGCCGCCAACCAATTCCCAAATAGACACAGACTTGTTATTCATTATGAATGTTTGGCCTTAGCTTGGGCTCGTCCCACTCGCCCTTTTAACTTGATTTAACCTGTTTCTCTTCATCTACATTTTGTTTCTGGGCTTTTTACCTTTCATTCTGTATGTCCTACTTCCTTGCTTCCTCTGTGTCTGGCTGGCCCCTGGCATCTTCCTGGCATCTCTTTCTTTCTCCTCCCCAGCCTAAATTCTCCTCCTACTCACTCGCCTTGCCTGGAAGTCCCGCCTTTACCTCCTTCCTCACTATTGGTCATTCAGCTTTTTATCAGACCCATCAGGAGCCGTAGGCAGGCAAGGTGAAACCGTAACACATCTTTGCACAGTTAAACAAATATTCCACAGCAAGTTGCAGAGCAGCCCTGGCTACAGATCACCCTGGTCCATAAAGACAAGAGCTGGAGGGATGGACGGCTCCGTGCTCGAGAGCACTTGTTACTCCTGTACAGGAGCCAGAGTGGGTCCTCAGCACCCACACGGTGCCTCACAACCTGGAGTTCCAGTTCCAGGGGTGGGGAAGTCTTGACACCCTCTTGTGGTCTCCAGACACTAGACAGTCATGTGGTGCCCAGAGAGACATGAAGGCAGAACACTCACACATGTAAGTAAATCAAAACAAACAACAAGAGACAGACACCAGCTTACAGCGCCATGTTTTCTTTAATGAAGATCCATCAGGGCCCAACAAAATTCTAGCATGAATAGTCAGACCATCAATCAAAGAGAGCCCCCAACGTGGTGTCCACCCTCCATGGACGCCAGCTCTGGAGCCGTAGCAAACAGACGCAGAGCCCAGGTCTCCAGCACCAACGTGCAGAGGTGTCCGTCCCGTCTACCCCCCCAACCCCCGCGCAGACCCTCATCGGATCCTCTGCAGCAGGCGCAGCCCGAGGAGCAGGTGCTGGTGGATGGCGGGGGTGCATCCGTGGCCCCGCAGGACATCCAGGGAGTAGGAGATGCCCGTCCTGGGTCCTCCCGGCTCCCACAGGGTGAGCAGAAAGGCTTCGCCCTCCCCACTCAGAACCAGCTGGGTTTGGGACGTCCTGAAGCTGACCTGGGAGAGAGTGACACTAAGATCACGGTGACGGAACCGACCGTCCGCCCCAGTCCTGACCCTGGGGGGATGGGCACCAGCACTGCCGTGAGAACTGCATCCCTGAGAGTGAAGACTCAGGCCGAGGGCTCCGTGGAATTAACAGAGAAACCGGCTCCACTGGGGATCCCTCCAACCCAACCACATCACCCCGGTAACACACACAACTTTCTTTTATTCTCTCTTTACATTTTATTTATTTTTATTTTTTGGTTTTTCGAGACAGGGTTTCTCTGTGTAGTTTTGGTGCCCGTCCTGGGTCTCACTCTGTAGCCCAGGCTGGCCTCGAACTCACAGAGATCCTCCTGCCTCTGCCTCCCGAGTGCTGGGATTAAAGACGTGTGCCACCGCTGCCCAGCCTCTCTTTACATTTTAATTTACTATTTGTGTGTATTTGGGCATGGGTTTGACACGGGATGTGACCTCTGGATTTCATGTTTTTCCAGAGGTCATGTAGCCCCTGGTGTCCTGAATGCTGGCTCTCCACGGCCCTGCCGTCCTGGTCACCCACTGGCTCTCCGCAGCCCTGCCGTCCTGGCCACCCACTGGCTCTCCACGGCCCTGCCGTCCTGGCCACCCACTGGCTCTCCGCGGCCCTGCCGTCCTGGCCACCCACTGGCTGTCCGCAGCCCTGCCGTCCTGACCACCCACCTGTACCGTCCCATTGCTAAAGAGCAGGACCAAAGCCTGGGAGTCGGCAGCGAAGGTCAACAGAGAGAAGTCGGGAGAGGCAGGCGCCACGGGCGTGGACACAGTCCCCTCCTGCGGGGACACGCCGGGTCAGGGTCCCTCGGTCCGCACCTCTCTCCCGATCCTCCCCACACTGCAGACCCTCACCTCCCGCAGGCGCCTCTGCATGTAGCAGGCGAAGAGCCGCAGGACAGCCAGCTTGGCCCTCAGCGGGCTGGGGACGTCCCTCAGGGCGAAGGTCCACAGAGTCCCCTGGTCAGGCCGGTAGGAGACATGCCTGGGGACCGAGGATCTGCATGAGCCTCTGTCCTGGATGCCCCATGCTTGGGGGTGTCTTCCCGCACAGCTGCACCCCACGGACGCTCTGAACATCACTGTGCCTACGATAACCTTGGCCAGTGAGGGCGCTGGCCACCCCAGAAGCGCCTCTCATTGCCCAACGACATCAAACCTGGGCTCTTCCCCTGTCTCCATGGAAAGGGCCGCTGCCCTCCTGGCCACCCGGCCACCTCCCCGCCCAGCCACCGCAAGAACACTATGGTAAAGTATCAGGGCTTGGGAGGTGGGTTCGGTGGCAGAGGACCCCCGAGGCTCCGGGGTCCATCCTCAAGAAAAAGAAAAATTGAAACCAGTCATGGGGCCAAGGAGACCTGGTCTCAGCACCAGAACCCGAGTTCCGATCCCAGCACGCAGGTCGGAGCCAGGCATGGCGGTGCAGGTCTGTAACCCTGCACCAGGAGTCGGTCCGTATCTTAGCTCGGCCCGACGCTGTCCGATGTCCGCTCCGTTGTGTTTGGAGACGTTGTGTGTCCCTGTCTCATGTAGCCCAGGCTGGCCTTGAGCTTGCTATGTAGCTGAGGGTGACCCTGAACTACGTGAACTCTTGACCCTCCTGCCTGCACACCCAGGAGCTGGGACACAGGCGTGCGCCAGCCCCCGATCACACGCCGCTGGCGAGGGGACCCTGGGCCCTGTGTGTGCCACGTGAGCGCTCTGTCTACGGAGCCGCAGCCTGACCTCCGTGACCACGGCCTCCCCAGTGACATGCAGCAGCGTCCCTGTCATCAAAAGTCCCCTCTCCCGCCTCAGCGGGTTTCGTCCCGTGGAAAAGAACATGTCGCCAACTCCTCATCCGGTTCACTGAGCCCTCCTACTGGCCGATGCCCAATGAGTAGTTGAGGAAAGAGTCAAGAGAGGTTGGGGTGGAGCCTGGTTCCCGGGGGTGCGAGCCCCACAAATTACCCTCCTGGGGGGTGCAGGGCCATGTGGGAGCCGTCCCGAAACAGCACGCCACTGCTCCCATCCGACAGCTGGTAGCCAAAGCCGTACTTGAGGGAGTAATCCACCCACTTGGGGGCCCAGAGGACCGGCTGCTGCTCCCCTGGGGGGTCCTGTGCCGCTGAGCGCAGGGGAGAGAGAGGAGCCAGGGTCAGGTGCTGGGCTGGGCTGTGGAGGGGTGG